GGGCTGGGGGGCACATCCATACCCAGGCTGGATTTCAGGTACCGCCGTGCGTCGGGGCTGAGGTGGCCGTTGGGCGTGCGGTCTGAGAGCGCAGCGGCGATGGAACTGGCCGTGAAGGACATCACCTGTGTGACTTGCCGGAGACGCGTGTGCAGGGCTGCCAGGCTCCCCCCTGCCCTCACCAGGGCACTGCGGTGCTTCCCCACATAGACACTGACGCCCTGGGGAAGGGACAGGGGTGAGGACAGGGTGCACAGCTGCCAACACGCAGGAGAACAGCATGGTGCCACCTGTGACACATGCTTCCCCACAGGGCACCTCTAAGAGGCACAACACACAGAGGCTGGCACTGCAGGGTGCTGCTCCCTACCTCAGGCAAGAGAGGGGAGGTTTCAGGGACCACATACATGGTCAGAGAGCCCAACGAGGCGTCCTGCAGCGGGCGCAAAGCAGCGTCAGCCTCTGGGGAATGCAGAGCCATTAGCAGGGTTGGGAATTTCACTCCAATCCCCATCCCACCCTGAGACACAGCAAAGTCAAGTCCTCTGCTCAGCCAGCCTCAAAAGGAGGAGCTCCCCCAGCAATCCCTTGCTCTGGTACCTTGTGCAGTCCCTGCAGCCAGCGCTGCCTCCTCCTGAGCTGTGCTGCTGCGATAAATCATCTCATAGCGGGATGTGACGCTGGTTCTCACTGTGGTGGGAGAAAACCTGAGTGAATCCTGCTGATCCTAGCCCCAGGTCCCTCACAGGAGCCAGGTGCTCAGAGGGACAAGGGGCAGCTCCAGCAAGACACATGCCACAAGTTTCTTTGGGCACCAGCTGGGTGAACCACCATGGCATGTTGCCTCAGCTGGCAGCAGGACAGTCCCACACCACCCAGATGCATCCCAACCTCCAAAGGATGCCATCGCCCTCATCTTCAGGGAGAGGGGGTGGTGCCTTCTCTGCAACACCCTGGCGATGTTGCTGTCCCCACTGCTTCCCTGCACCGCTAGCTCAGGGCAGGACGATGCTGGTGAACGTGGGTTTGAGGTCTGCACTGATGGGCAGTGCCAGTCTCCCAAAGACAGAAACCGCAGGTAGGCATAAACCCCCGGAAAACAAGGAGGCCACCCAGGAGGGACAGTCAGGGCAGGAATAGCCAGAGGGTCTCTCACGGTTCACAGAAATCTCCATCTCCTGCACGTCCCTGAAGGGCAGCGGCCTCGGCAGGTCCACGGGCACCGACCCCGGGCCGAAGACCACGGCGATGGGCACCA